CAGGTTTGAATTCAAATCCTGTACCTTCATGGCATTCCCTGCTCCAGGTTTGAATTCAAATCCTGGAGCCTCATGGCATTCCCTGCTCCAGGTTTGAATTCAAATCCTGGAGCCTCATGGCATTCCCCGCTCCAGGTTTGAATTCAAATCCTGGACCTTCATGGCATTCCCTGCTCCAGGTTTAAACCCAAATCCAGGAGCGTTGGGGCATTCCCTGCTCCAGGTTGAAACCCAAATCCAGGAGTTTTCCAGACAGCTGCTCCCAGGAACTGGCTGTTCCCTGGCTTTGCTGTGCCCATGTCACTCCCAGAGCACAAAGAGCCTCCTGCTCTCTTGGAGCTGGCTGGGACTGGGAGGCCACGATGCTCCTTGGACACTTGGCACAGTTAATCCAATCTGTTTATCCACAGCTTCCCTGAAATTAGGGAATAACTCACCAAGCTGGGCTGGAGACAGTTGGAGAAAGTGGGAACAGGTTGGGAGGAACGGGTTTGGTGTCTTGGGACATTGGATTTCAGAACTGGCAGGGACAGCTCCCGGGTTTGGTGTCTTGGGACATTGGATTTCAGAACTGGCAGGGACAGCTCCCAGGGGTGGGTGCTGCAAGTAAACTCTGCTTTTTTCATGGAATCCTGGAATGGTTTGGGGTGAAAAGGGCCTTGAAGATCATCCCCTGCCATGGACACCTTCCACTGTCCCAGTGCTGTGTCCTGTACTGGTGCAGCACTGGCAGGTGGCATCTGTCTGCTCCCAAAAAATGTCCCCGAGGGGTGTCAGAGGGTGGTGCCAGGCTCTGTTTGGGGACAGGACGAGGAACAGTGGCCATAAATTAAAACACAACGAGTTCCACCTCACCCTGAGGAGGAATTTCATTCCCTGAAGCCCTGGAACAGCTGGAACCTCCCTCTGGAGACGTCCCAACCCCACCTGGAGCTGTCCCCGTGTCACCTGCTCCGGGTGACCTCCCAACCCCACCTGGAGCTGTCCCCGTGTCACCTGCTCCGGGTGACCCTGCCTTGGGTGATCACAAAGTGTTTTGGGGAAAAACATGAGCTGTTTTGGATAGCTTTGGGGGGAATCATGAGCTTTTTTGGAGCTGTTTTTGGGGATCATGAGCTGTTTTGGGAAGCTGTTTTGGGGATCATGAGCTGTTTTGGTGGATCACTGGTTTTGGGGATCACAAGGTGTTTTGGGGCATCACTTTTGGTGGATCATAACGTTTTAGTGGAGCTGTTTCAGGGAATTACAAACTGGATTTTGAGGACCACAAGCTCTTTTGCTGGAGCTGTTTTGGGGATTACAAAATATTTTGAGGAGCTGTTTTGGGGATTACAAAATATTTTGAGGGAGCTGTTTTGGGGGATCAGTGAGGTCTCTTGGTGGAGCTGTTTGAGGAGATCAGGAGCTGTTTTGCTGGATTTTGGGGGATCAGGAGCTATTTTGGTGGAGCTGTTTTGTTCGATCACTTTTAGGGGATCACAAGATGTTCTGAGGGAAATATTTTAGGAGATCAGGAGCAGTTTTGGTGGATGACAGGGTAAATTTTGGGGGATCAGGAGCTGTTTTAGTGGAGCAGTTTTGCTGGATGACAGGGTGGATTTGGAGGAATCAGGAGCAGTTTTGGTGGATTTTGAGGGAATCAGGAGCAGTTTTGGTGGATGACAGGGTGGATTTGGGGGGATCAGGAGCAGTTTTGATGAAGCTATTCTGCTATATCACAAGCTGAATTTTGAGGGATCAGGAGCAGTTTTGCTGGATCACAAGCTGGATTCTGAGGGATCAGGAGCTGTTTTGGTGGATTTTGAAGGAATCAGGATCTGTTTTGCTGGATTTTGAAGGAATCAGGATCTGTTTTGGTGAAGCTATTCTGCTGGACCACAAGCTGGATTTTGGGGGATCAGGAGCAGTTTTGGTGGATTTTGAGGGAATCAGGAGCAGTTCTGGTGGATGACAGGGTGGATTTGGGGGGATCAGGAGCAGTTTTGATGAAGCTATTCTGCTATATCACAAGCTGAATTTTGAGGGATCAGGAGCAGTTTTGCTGGATCACAAGCTGGATTCTGAGGGATCAGGATCTGTTTTGGTGGATTTTGAAGGAATCAGGATCTGTTTTGGTGAAGCTATTCTGCTGGATCACAAGCTGGATTTTGAGGGATTAGGACCTGTTTTGGTGGATGACAAGGTGGATTTTGGGGAATCAGGAGCTGTTTTGGTGGATGACAAGGTGGATTTTGAGGGAATCAGGAGCAGTTTTGGTGGATTTTGAGGAAATCAGGATCTGTTTTGGTGAAGCTGTTCTGCTGGACCACAAGCTGGATTTTGGGGGATCAGGAGCAGTTTTGGTGGATGACAGGGTGGATTTTGAGGGATCAGGAGCAGTTTTGCTGGATCACAAGCTGGATTCTGAGGGATCAGGAGCGGTTTTGGTGGATTTTGAGGAAATCAGGAGCTGTTTTGGTGAATCACAAGCTGGATTCTGAGGGATCAGGAGCGGTTTTGGTGGATTTTGAGGGAATCAGGAGCTGTTTTGCTGGATCACAAGCTGGATTCTGAGGGATCAGGAGCGGTTTTGGTGGATTTTGAAGGAATCAGGATCTGTTTTGGTGGATTTTGAAGGAATCAGGATCTGTTTTGGTGAAGCTATTCTGCTGGATCACAAACTGGATTTTGGGGGATCAGGAGCAGATTTGGTGGAGCAGTTTTTCTGGGTCACAAGCTGGATTTTGGGGGATCAGGAGCTGTTTTGGTGGATTTTGAAGGATCAGGAGGTGTTTTGCTGGATTTGGGGGGAATCAGGATCAGTTTTGGTGGATCACAAGCTGGATTTGAGGGAATCAGGAGCAGTTTTGGTGGATTTTGAGGGAATCAGGACCAGTTTTGCTGGATCACAAGCTGGATTTGGTCTCAGGAGCTGTTTTGGTGGATGAAAAGGTGGATTTTGGGGAATCAGGAGCTGTTTTGGTGGATGACAAGGTGGATTTTGGGGAATCAGGAGCTGTTTTGGTGGATGACAAGGTGGATTTTGAGGGAATCAGGAGCAGTTTTGGTGGATTTTGAAGGAATCAGGATCTGTTTTGGTGAAGCTATTCTGCTGGATCACAAGCTGGATTCTGGGGGATCAGGAGCAGTTTTGGTGGATTTTGAGGGAATCAGGAGCAGTTCTGGTGGATGACAGGGTGGATTTGGGGGGATCAGGAGCAGTTTTGATGAAGCTATTCTGCTGGATCACAAGCTGGATTCTGAGGGATCAGGAGCGGTTTTGGTGGATTTTGAGGGATCAGGAGCAGTTTTGCTGGATCACAAGGTGGATTTTGAGGGATCAGGATCTGTTTTGGTGGATTTTGAAGGAATCAGGATCTGTTTTGGTGAAGCTATTCTGCTGGATCACAAGCTGGATTTTGAGGGATTAGGAGCTGCTTTGGTGGATGACAGGGTGGATTTTGAGGGAATCAGGAGCAGTTTTGCTGGATCACAAGCTGGATTTTGAAGGAATCAGGATCTGTTTTGTGAAGCTGTTTTGTGATCTGTTTTTTGTGAAGCTATTCTGCTGGATCACAAGCTGGATTCTGGGGGCTCCCACCACCTTTCCCATCCCATTTTTAGGACTCTCCCTCCATCCATCCATCCCATCCTTGACTTTCTCCTCCTTTTCCCCACAGGCCAAGATGACTGGAATGGAACCCGGCCCTCCCTGAAGGCCCCTCCAGCCAGGCCAGTTAAGGGGGGCTACAGAGAGCACCCCTACGGACGCTACTAAAACACAAAAAATGAGGGAAAAAATCCCCATTTAGGAGCAAACAGTTGTAACTGGTTCTTGTATCTCCCGGGATTCCCGTTGCTTTACCCACAGCAGACAAGTAATTGTCTCCCTGTTTTTCTTCCTGGCCCTTTTTTTCCTCCCACTCCATCCTCACCCTGCATTTTGGCTTCTGTATGTAGTGACTTCTCGAGATGAATTTAAATAGATTTAGAGGAAAACTTTTTAATTTTTATTATTATTATTATTATTTTTTTTTCTTCTTCTTCTTCTTCAGTGTGTAGATGGCTTTTCTTTCTTTGTCATTTTAGGTTAAAAAAAAAATGTAACTTTTTTAAGGAAAACAAACAAACAAAAAAAAACTAAAAAAAAAAAGTTAAAAAATGTTAGTTTCCAAAGTGACATGCTTTGCTTAGTTCTGAACTTAAGGTTTTGTTAAAACTTTTAAAGTTTGTTTTAAAGGAACCCATAAAGGTTGTAGTTGCAGAATCCCAAAGTAGGCTACATTTCAAAATTCAGGGTTATTTTTTTAAGAATTAAAATCATAATGTTACAGTAGTGGCTGCCACCATTTAAAAAACAAAAAATAACTTCAGATGCCAAACCTTTAAAAGGAGATTGCTGGTGAATCTTGAAGTTTAAATTTTAACCTAAAGGATCCTCCAAACAAATTAAATAGCATTTTCTAAAGAGAATTGACTTAAAAGGAAAAAATTAGGTTGGTAAAAAAAATTGACTTTTCTTATGTGGATTTTGAAATCTAGCCCCCATGCAGTGTTGAGATATGCTTGGGAATATTTTTCCAGTGGAGAGGGGTTTTAGTTTGGTTCTAAATAAACAATTTTTAAGGGAAAAAAACCCCAAAATATGGCTTTAATTGCCCAGTGTTTGATAGAAATAATATTCCATGGGTAGGCCTGTAAAATTCTCTATTTTTTTGTAGCACTTTGGGGCAGAAAATCTGATGAAAATCTCAAACTTGCCCCAAAAAAAATAATCAATTTTAAGAAGTCCCAGCCACTTGTTCAAGTGTATCTCAGCACGAGCTTCTCATAAAAAGGGACACTGCAGCTGTAAAAAGAAAAAAAAAAATCAAAAACAAAAACAAAACAACAGACAAAAAACAATCCCAAATTTCACTTTGTACATAAGATAAAGTCCTAATTGGATTTGTTACACTGTCCTCCCACTCTGTTCTGGAAGAGAAAAATGCTACATTTTGTGTAAAGTCTGCCTAACTAGGTAGCTCAAAACGTGTCAAAATGTCTGTCTCAATCTGTCAATAAAGTTTAGTCCTTTTTTAATCAAAGTAAATGTGATGAATTGTCATTTGTTTTTTTTGGAGGTTTTATTTTTTATTTTTCAAACAACTTTTAAATTCATGCTAAAATTAATTTGTCTTTTTTTATTATTATTATTATTTATTATTTATTTTAAAACTGTGGAGGCATTTTTTTTAAAAAATGGTGGTCTTTTGGTAATTCTCGTGAGAAAACAAATTTTTTTTCAAGCTTAAATTTCTTTTTTTTTAAAAAAAAAAAATGAAAAACACAAAACAAAAATTGTTTTTCACCCCCTGGAAGTTGCTGGAAGTTTTGAGGCAGAAATCTGAATTTGGAAAGCATGTGATGGTTCTTTGCTCGATGATTCAGATTTCAGGTGGCCTCAGGGAATATTCCAGAGGCTGGTTTAAGTAGGATTGCTGAGAATTCCAAGGAATTTGCTTTCTGTAACCCCCCCCTTGGCTAAGATGTTTCCAAAGCAGCTTTTCCTTGGAAAAAATCCACTTTAAAAATGAATTTTTTGTTGGTGAATGGTGCAGCAGCTGCTCCTTAAATCCTTTCTGAGAGGGTGTGGATGTAGAAATATTTAATATATTTATATTTAAAAATAAAGGCTTCATGGTTTGTTATTTATTACCCATCCAGCAGATGAATTTGGAATTTTAAGGGGAGAGGATTAAACTGCTTGGGGGTGAAAAACAGAATTTTAGGGAAAAAAAAAAAACAACAAAAACAACAAACTTCAGCTCACGAACAGAGGGGAATATTTAAAAAATAAAAAAAGAAAAAAAAAACAAACAACAAAAACCACAAAAGTTGTATTTGTAGATTGTTATTAAAGTGCAAATAACTGAATTTTCAACACTGGTTTGGAGTCAGCTTTCAGGGCATAATGTGATGAAAAGATCAGCCTATGCCCCCCCTTTTAAAGGAAAATTATCAGCAGGAGAAATCAGGATGTGTAAAGCTAACAGGCATCGCAAAGCCCAAAAAGGTAACCTAAATGTCTGATTTTAATATAGCACATTTCTCTTTTCCATAAACCTGTGACGTAAACTTTTTTACCCAGCCGACCCTTCAGATGTTAATTTAATGCAAAAGGGGACAAAAAAAACAACCAAAACCCAAAAAAAAAAAAACTATGAAAAAAAAAAAAATGTTTTAAATATAAACATTTAAACCAACCCACATGGCTCCGGCATAAATTAGCAATAACTTTATTTAATAATGTGCCCTTGGCAGATGCACTGGGATGGAATGTGGGCCAAAAGGAATCTTTTAAATATCCTGAATTTTTAAAGGGTAAAAGATGTAAAATGAACATGAATCCAAGCTAGTCCTGCTACTGCCAAAAACAAAACCAAACCCCAAATTCTGCTCAGTTGTTTGAAAATATCAATTTTTAGCCCCCCCAGTATTGCTGTTTCCTGTGAAATGTCCATAGCTCAGCTGAACTTGCATGTTTTTCCTTCATGTGTAATTGCATGCAGGAATCTTTTTCCTTCTTTATCCTTTTTTTTTTAAATTATTATTATTTTCTGTGAAGATTTTTTTTTGGTATCTCTGCTTCCATTGAGGATCCTCACGATTTTTTATTTTTTTTTCTTTTAATTTGCAGGGATTTGGCGCCGTGACTCAGCGGGGTGAGGAGGAGGAGGAGGAGCGGCACCAGCTGGGTGAGTTTTGGGGGATTTTTACAACCCCTTGTTGAGTTCCCAGCGTGGGGGTGGCACCATCTGAGCTGCTAAATTCCAGTTTTTCCTTGGATCCACACGAATTAAATAAAAAAAAGGAGGGAAGCTGCTTTCCCTGCCTGCTGCTCTGGCAGAGGTCAGGGCGTGGAGGAGGCTCCTGAGTTGAGGTTTTGGGGGGGTTTTAAGGGATTTTGGGATGGGATCTGTGCCTTGGAGCTGGGATGCAGGGATTTGGGAGCAGGGGGGAGTTGGATTTCATGGAATGAGAGGCCTTAAAGGTTCTGTGCTTCCCAAGCCTTGGGATTTATTACCCAATGCTCCAGGAGCAGAGCAGGCTCTGGGAATGGCTCAGGAATTCCCAGGCTCTGGCTCAGGAATTCCCAGGCTCTGGCTCAGGAATTCCCAGGCTCTGGCTCAGGGATTCCCAGGCTCTGGGAATGGCTCAGGAATTCCCAGGCTCTGGGACTCAGGAATTCCCAGGCTCTGGCTCAGGGATTCCCAGGCTCTGGGAATGGCTCAGGAATTCCCAGGCTCTGGGAATGGTTCAGGAATTCCCGGGCTCTGCTCTGGGAATGGCTCAGGAATTCCCAGGCTCTGGGAATGGTTCAGGAATTCCCGGGCTCTGGCTCAGGGATTCCCAGGCTCTGGAATGGCTCAGGAATTCCCGGGCTCTGGCTCAGGAATTCCCAGGATCTGGCTCAGGAATTCCCAGGCTCAGGAATTCCCACAGGAAGCCACAATCCAGTAAAATTCCAGGCTGCAGCTCTTCAAACCTTGCCAGTTCCACCCCTCCCTCTTCCCATCCATGGACTCTGGAATGGGATGTGGCTGCTGGGATTTGTTTTTATGGAATCCTGCCAAGGAATCTCCCTCAGTGATCCTGGCATGCATTTCACAGTCCCAGAATGGTTTGGGGTTGGGGCAGCCTTAAATTCCCATGGGCAGGGATTCCTTCCCCTATCCCAAATTGCTGGAACGCTTCCAGGGATGGAACAGAGATGATTCCCTAAAAAAATCACTTTGTTAAGTGGCTGGAAGTGGTTGGGGGTGATCACATCAGCACAATTCCCCCCCACGGGATTCCTTTGGGAACAGCAAAATGCTTCCCCTGAGATCCCTGGAAATCTGAGCTCCATAAATAAAAATTACAAAGGAATCCACCCTGGAAATGCTGGAAAAGCCCAAAGCCAAGCTGAGCATGGGACATCAAAGGACAAATCCAATTTTGTAGGGAATTACAGAGCTCCCAAACGAGCCCCTCTTACCTCAGGAGCATCAGGAACAGGGATTTGTTTGATTTCCCAATTTGTGGGAATGCTGCAGCAGGGAGTCCATCCTGAATTCCCACATTTTGAAAATTGCATCCTGCCAGGAGGGAAATGATAACAGGCCTTGATTTGTGGCCTGGTTATCAAATCCATCTTCACTTCCCGTGGAATTGGAGCATCAATTCCAGTGGCAATGCACCAGTCTTTCCCATTTCTCTCTTAATAGGCACAGCTTTTAGGTCAAGTGGAAAAGATTTGCTAGAGATCATCTCTTAGGATGCAGTTTATTCCCAAATGGATCTTGTGACTCTGCCTTTGGAATAACCCAGCTCGTGCCTTGCTTTTTTGTGGGATGTTGATGGGAAGGATTCAAAAGTTATGGCAGGATGGAAATGTGAACATTGAAATAACTGGATGTGCTGGGAGTGTTTTGCAAACATTCCTTGGATCAGACAGCTCCCTCCCTCTTTCCTTCCCTCTTCCAGCACTTTTCCAGGCAGATTTTAGACCTGGAGCCTGCCAGAGCTCATTTGAGATCCCAAATTAAGCCCTCAGCGTCGGATGTGCCTGTCAGAGATGCTTTAATTAGCCAAACATTCCAGGGGTGATGCAGGGATTTGGGAGGGATGGAGATTCCTGGGAGTCTGAGTCACCTCAGTAACCTGGAGAACCTTCCCTTTCCTGATGGAATTCTGCTCCCAAGTGCCAGGGATCTTTTCCTCTCCCTGTTTTCCCAAAGGGCTCATCCACATCCTGTTATTTGTGGGATTTTGGGAAAGGCCCCAACCCAGAGAAAAGCCCCTGTTGTTCTTAGCTCTGTTCACATCTTCTCTCTGGAAGTGTTTCCCAACAAAACCCTGGTTTTGTCAGGAGGAGCTTGGATTGGGAACATCCTCCTCCTCTGTGTCTCGGCATTCCCATCTTCCTTTTCCCTGAGTGGGAAAACCTCCAGCCTCCAGCACAGCCCTGGCTGTAAAACCTCAGCCCAGCCTTGCTTGGAGCTGGCACAAACCTGGGTTTTGTCCTTAGTGGGGAGTGAATCCGAGGAAAACTCTCCAGCTGGAATTCCAGAGGTATCCCCAGCAGCTTTTCCTGGAAATAGCCTCATCCCCTGTTCCTTACCCCTGCTTTCCATTTTCTGTTTGGATTATTTCAATAAAGCGAGTGGCTCTGAGCTTTATTCTATGGAATCATGGATTCAGGGAATGCTTTGGGGCGGGAGGGACCTTAAAAAGCTGCTCCAGTCCCATGGCAGGGCCACTTTCCGCTATCCAACACTTCAGGAATGGGAATTCCACAGCTTTTCTGGGATTTTTTTATATCTCAGCCTCACTGAAAGCACAGTGGTTTGATGTTTTACCTCAATACACCCCTCCAAAATTCCTTAGCTTGGCTGAGTTGGAGAGCACAGCTGGATTCCCTATCCAGATTTGAACAAATTTGAAATTTATATGAGAGCATCTGCCACAGGCAGAGCCAAGAAAAAATAACTGGAATGTAATTTTTTACTTCCTTAACCCCTCTTGCTGCTCTCCCAAAAAAAAAACCTTGGGATGCAGGGTGATTACCTGGAGTGGCTCTGGAGGAGGAGAGCAGGGAATTCTCCAGCTGAAGCTTTTGGGGAGGAAAAGAGAGCTCAGGGAATTTCTCCTTCGTGGCTCAAGCTCCAACACCTCGGCTGAGCCGTGGGTGGTGAGGGGGAGGAATTCCTGCAGCTTGGCCAGTGTCCCTGGGGGCTTCCATCCAGGATGGGGATGTTATTCCTGAATTTTTCCCCTCGGGAAGTTCCCTGGGTGTGAGCACAGAGCTGTGCTGCTCAGTTGAGCTTTCCATATGTTTTCACATGGAAAAGGATGATTTCCATGCTCCCTTTGCTCCTTTTGCCAAGAGGGATGAATCTCCCAGGAGCTGGTTGAGGATCAGTTCAAACACTGTTTGCTGTGACTGGAAAATGGGAATCTGCCAGGTTTTTTGGGAGTGTTGGAGAACACCAGAGCCTCCCTTGAATCCTGGGAATTCCCTTGGATCTCCAGCTGCCTGTTGGAAAACTGAAATATAAACTGTTTCCTGATGGAAGTGTTCATTTTACCACTGAATTTGGAACTAGACACGACCAAAAAAGGTTCATCCATCACATTCCAGATACATTTTTTTAGCCTGACCGTATTTTTAGGGATCTCCTGGTACATTTAGAGGATTCTCTTCAGCATCAGGTGTTTGGCCACTCCTGATTTTTGATGGTTTTGCACAGCCCCAGAATCAATTTAAGTTGGAGAAGCGCTCCAAGATCTGTCCCCATCCCCACTCGTTGGACACCTGCAGGGATGGGCACTCCAGACCGCTCTGGGCAGCCAGAAAAACACCAGAAAAGAAGCAAAGCTCGGCTCTGCGCAAGTCCATCCATTCCAGGGCCGCTTTTTCCTCCAGCCTAGGCAGGGCTGGCTCAGTTTTGGGGACCCATCCGCGCCAAAACACCAACCCCCACAAAACCGAGCGGAGAATTGGGAATAAACCACACCTGGAGGGCGCTCTAAACCCTTCCAGGTGGATCACAGCACCGAACCGCGGCGCGGAGGAGCCTGGAGCCGAGAGGGATTTCTCATTCCCGGCAATAACGGGGAACGCTGCCGGCATTTTCCCGGGGACACCGCCGGGCGTGGCCGGGTGGGCGTGGCCACGCGAGGGGCGTGGCTTTTTCCCGCGTTCGCGCCCCGCAGCAGCTTG